TAATATGAAAGTAAAAGTTATATAAATTAATTATTATTATTTTCTAAATAAAATACTTGCTTCCCATATAAAATTACTTACTTAAACTGAGTAATGAAATTTATAATATATTTATAATATTTATATCTGAATTTGATAAGGCAAAATTATTTGGTACTTTTCTCATAGTTTTTCTTCTTTATAATATTTCTATAATGTTTGTATGGTAATTTTATGTGTGTAGAGTGAACAAAGTTTTGAATAAATTTAATAGATGCGTCTTTTAAAATATTATCTTTTAGTATAAAATGAATTGCCTTTAATTTAATGAAAAATTTATGTTTTATATTTAATGTGACTGCATTAATGTTATTGTTATTTATGTGATCTTAAAAACTCACAAGTTTATCGTCTTTTCAAAGAGGAAGATAAATATTTTTCTCTTTTTATCCTATATCAAGTCAATTTAAAATATTTGATTAAATTTACTTCTCACTTATTTAATTTAATTTTCTAGTTTTCCACTTTAATCCCAATTGATAATGTTCGATTTCACGCTTACGTTCATCTTCATATGTATCATTGTGTCATCGCGATAATATTTAATGGATCATAGATTTTCATTTAATTTAGTGATTGTACAATATTCAATATTCTTTTCTATCAATTTTATATCCCTACGAATACTGTTCGACTGGCTTATCAATAATCTTTTAACTTACATTTGAGTTAGATTTTATACAATAATATATCAATGTAATTTATAAATTAACTGCACAATAATCATAAACGCCCGAATGAAATAAAAATATGGACTTTAATACTGAATTCTGTCAATTATTGTAATCAGATATTTTAATTTATGTAATGATAAATTTTTATGGTGATTTAAAATAATCATAAAATCGGACACACTAGCAGCGATTATGTATTTATTATTTTTTTTATTTGTTACTAAATCTACAGCATTTGTTCGTGTGAATAATACTTTACTGATTAATACTTTAATGCATTACTATACTTAGCTTACTATAGTAACAATACCTACGTCAGTTTAATAAAAAAGTTGGTACTTTCCTTAATTTATTCAAATGGATTTTTTCAACATTTAATCCAAAACCGCACTTATTAACTATTCTTTGAGATTTTTCTTTTGTTGCTATATATTATAAATAAGTAAACGAATTTAATTAACATTGTTTAAGTGAACTCGAAGCTTTTATACTCTCGGCTTTATACTTTAGAAGACTTATGTTTCTCTCAAATAGTTGTTAATGATCATAAAGATCTTATTAATTTGAATTTAAGTTGAATTTAAATTAGATTAAGGGCCATTATATAGGATTTTAAATAGGTAGTCGATTAAACAATGATTACGTAAAAGTATAATTAGCATAATAATTATATGGATGTTGCATTACAATTTATATATAGTAAATTAAATAAAAAAAAAACTTATGTTTTACCTCTGAAATAATTCAGTAATTTTTATTATTATTTATTCTTATTATTATAACGATAATCACATTATGTTATTCCATTCAGTCTTGTCAGTTAATGATAACATGGCATGTTCTAATGACTCTTTTACTTTAAAAATAATTTGTATATATATATATATATATATATATATACTTATGAATATTTTATCATATTAGTATTGTATTATTATTAATTAAAGTTTAGGTATTTTCGAAATATTTTATTAGATTCTTTTAATTTTTTGTTGTTATAGATTTATAAATGTCGACGATTTATTTTATTTATTTTTATTTAGATCTGTAGTTTATGTGGTCTTTGTATTATTTTCTGTACTACTTCTTTCTAAATCTCAGTGCTTTGTTTCATAAATCAATTACAAGATTTATAGTCACTGATCGAACATTAAATATCGGTCATTGAATGATTCATGGTGCTTTAAAATATATACACGCTTCTCTTATCCTTTATTTTCGAGTACTGCAAGTCTGTTGAAAATTTAATCTTGATATTCAATGTCCGTTCTTTACTTAAGATTTAACAGATTAAGCATAAGGATTATATTTCTATTATTTTGGGAAATTGAAATCTCGATTTCATTGTAGACAATATTTAATATGTACAAAATATACGAATTATAATATTTTCGTCAAACTGTTAAATCTGTATGATTATAATGAATTTGTTTGTAATAATTTATTGATTTAATTGATTTGTTCACATTTATATGTGTGGACATGCGTGTATATGATCGGTTATGTCGATATATGTAAAGAATAATTACGTTTAACATTATTATTATAAGTAATGCAGATATTCTAAAGGATATAAATTTGAAATAGGGTAAAGCTTATTAATTTTAGTTTCTCATTAGCCCAAAGCCTTCATATTCGTTAGTCTAATAATTCATTTTATATGAAATGTTCTCACTTTTTCTGAAGAATTCTATACAAACAGTTTTCTTTTCAGAAAATATTAAAAATATTGGTATCCATTGTCTGTACATTTATTATTAAAGCCTCCTGATAAATATATACAGACAACTATTTACACTGTTCTTTCTATAGTACAATAAGGAATATATAAACATAACTAGTTCAATAACAATGAAAGTTGATAATATAATAGAATCGTCGATAAAAGATATCATTTTAAAAGGATATTTTTTCTCCAATAACATTAATTAGTTCTTCCAAATAATATACTGAAATTTGTGTGTTTGCTTATTGTAAATAAATCATGTATAAATATTTATTTATATTCGTTAATTTATTTGTGATTTGTGAAACGTCTATACACGCGCGCGCGCGCATATACACATAAACACACATATTCTAGAGATTCTGGAAATGTTTTAATTAATTTATTTTTAATCTATTTTTAAACTTTTTTCATTGAATGACTAGATAAAATGAGGCAGCTATCTCATTTTTATCTCACTATCAGCTATCTCCAAGAGAATTAATTTTAAATTTACTCATTAGAGATATGCTAAGTATTTGAAAATATGATTTTGAAATGTTCGCTTACTCTCTATCACTTTTCCCTAACTACTTTTTTTTGTATATTTAGAGTTACTCTGATATCTTTAACGCCACACCCATTATCCGCAAGAACAGGACACGATATGAAATAGCGATACGCCTCTATCAAGGATTACTTTGATATACGTTACAATGTTGGTCCTTGTCTGTATTAATCGAATATTAAATGCTAACTCGACTGCTTGAATGCTAACTAGTTTTTAACAATTTCATGAATAAAAGATAAGTTATCATTTACAGGATAAAAGAGTAAGAAATTCAAATTAAAAAAATTGTTCACACCTTTTAAAGTTTAATAAAGAAACCAATTTTTTCTAGTACCTTATTACTCTTATAAAATTAATATTATATGCGTGCTAAATTAATTCGACGTTCATTAATCTTACGTTAAATAGAACAATAAATTAAAGACAAATTTTTTATTTAAATTTAACATTTATGAACATAAAAATTTTGTATTTCATCAAAAATAAGATAATTTCCAATTAAAATAAATTTCTTTCTATGAACTAACTTTTACTTCACTAAGAGGATATATTAAAATTAACGAACTTCCAATAATGCATTAAATTTGCATTATAATGAATATTTATTATAAATTTGTAACATTTCCCATTTAACAAGTAAAATATTATTTATTGAAATTTACTATATTTATGAGTAACAACATTTATAAATTTTGTTAAACTTGTCAATATAAAAGTCCACGTTGAAGATTATTTGTCGTATATTATAGTGTTCAATGTTTATATTTACATGTAAATACATGTAAAAATTAAAATAATTCTACATATTGATAAAATAAGTATTTTTCGTAAATTAATGTTTTTAATTAAAATCACATTAACTCAATATGCAGGATGAATAGAACAAGAAATATTATTACAATATTTGCAGTAATTATTGAACGATTTGATGAATTTATAAATGTTTCCGTATTTTCAAGCACTACTCTCGCAAATAGGTAAATTATCTTTTATAACTGTATATTATATACGTAATTACCATCTATATGTTAAATATTTATTAGTAATACAATAATTTTAAACATTACCGAAGTACGTGTAAAATGAGCAAAGTATAAGTCATAAACTAATACATATTATAGATATAAAATGAATTGTACAGTGCTCATTCGTATCATTTTATTTACTAATATGTGTATCATATGTACATGCCCTTACAAACAAACGTACATGTAGGTATAGAGAAACGATTAATAAAAATTTATAATGTTTTATGTTTACAATTTTTGTGAATATTTTCAGCTCAAAACTATTATATATTATTATATATTAAACCAAATAGTTTTTAAATAGCATTTTTATTCATTTTTTTGTTCTTTTTCACCAAATAATTGTACTATTCATGCAAGAAAATATTATGAATAACAATAGTTGTAGTTCACTATTCTTTATTAATCATATTTTCATTTTATTCATATATATATATATATATATATATATATTAATTCATTCGGATTGCAATTATATAAATATAATATTTCCAGTACTTAATTATTCGCAGTAAATTATTAGTTTCTAAAATCTATTCCTATCCGTTAGTTTCTCTCTTTCTTTCTCCATTACAATTTTATTTTCAATTTTTTCATGGCCCACAGATATGTATATGAATGTATAATTTTTGTATTGGAATTTTGAAACGTAATATCGAATAGATATTTAAATCTCAATTTATTATATTTTTTTGAAATCATTTACATTTACTATTTATACAGAATTTTGAAAATAATGTCTTTTGAAGATCTTAATTTTCAAATATTATAATTATTACATTTATTTACAATATTACAATTATTTCGAATAATTGGCATTATCGATTGAATAATATGATAATGTTGCTATGAAATTATAAATATTCTCAATATCTGTAAAATACTAGCGATCCCCTAATCGATTATCTGCACAGTGCGTGTATTTACAGCCGCTAATTGTTCGATTTGTTTTTTTTTTTTTTGTTTTTTTTTTGTTTTCCCAGGGGTCCGTTCAGCGTAGTGCGAAAATGCATTCACCGCCAGACCGGCCAGACATTCGCAGTAAAAATTGTCGACGTGGCAAAATTCACTTCCAGCCCGGGGCTCAGCACAGCGGGTAAGCAAACATTGCACTACCAGTGCCACTTTCAGCAGCGCCATCCCAATAGTAATACCATTGCCTTTTGAATACGACTACTCATCGTTACTATTATGACGTAGGAGTCGGTAGCAATACTATTCGCCACCCGTCCCATTAATTTTGTCGCTCGCATGTCTGTGTCGGGCGCAAGGCTCTCGGTCTCCACTTCCATTACTCGTTGAATTTATACACGAGCTTACGGCCATTGTGAGTTGGCTTGCGTTGTTCTATTCCACCGGGGAGTCTTGAATCAGCGAGTGCAGCCCAGTCTATTGTCAAGGTCTTATCGTCGGGAAAAATGTGAGAAGAATCAGCTATTTTGCGCTTAGGTTGGTCGGCCCCTTGAATTAAGCCGTCAGCTTGATCAGATCGTAAATATAGTTTTTTTTTCCCCTTTTTTTTGTTTTTTTTTTGTTTTTTTGTTTATTTGTTTTTTTGTTTTTTGTTTTTTGTTTCTTTTTTTTTTACTCGCGGTAATGCTGTTCTGTCATACTCACGCGCACATTACGGAATATCGGCTGACTTTAATAATAAAAAATGCTTTTTTTCGACCGGTAATGGACCGTTTTCACGGTGTCGCGACTACATATTTTTATTCACTTATATCGTTATCTTATGTAAAATATTTAATCAGAAATGGTTAATGCATGAATTAGATGATCGGAGAGTGTCGATAGAAATGTATCCGATGATAAATTTCCGTTCATAGATTTTCCATTATATCATCAACGAATTTTTCCCACCCTTTATGCGCCTTAATAGCCCTTTATCAAAGCACTTGGATTTAATCTTCATCTTGATAACCACCGGATTAACATTAATAGCCTAATCTATTGCTACAAGTTTGAATCTAAGCCGATTATGATTAATACTTTGATAATCAGGGTATATTATTTCAGATTTGAAGCGGGAAGCTACGATATGTCATATGTTAAAGCATCCGCACATTGTGGAATTGTTAGAAACTTATAGTTCCGAAGGAATGCTCTATATGGTTTTCGAATAGTAAGTTTTCTAATTATAAGAGCTTTTCTTAAGTGCCTGGCGTTGAGTTTTAGAGTACTTTACAAAACTATTCATCATTATTATTTATTTATTTTCTAGCATGAATGGATCGGATTTATGCTTTGAAGTTGTAAGGCGTGCAACCGCTGGATTTGTTTATAGCGAAGCTGTCGCTAGGTAAGTGCTCGTAGAAATTTATTTTGAAAATGATACGGTACATTAGAGGAGAGCTTGGCGCTACATAGATATAGCGAAGCTGAGTTTTCACGTTATAATATTTAAATAGGATAGGTTAAAAGATGATATTGCAAACAGTATACCAGGGGAACGCAGGGGATACAGTAGAAGGTAGATGGTAAAAAATTATCGCGAGTGCTCGTAAAGTTTTAATAATTAAAAAAGATTGAATTTTACGACCGCGTTGCGCTAAAGTGGAATTAAGAAGCTTTGGTCGTTGTTTATTTTAGAAATTTTCGTTAATTTTTGCTGATATGTCCTTTATTATATTTCATGTAATATTGAAATTGAAAGACATTTTATGAGCAGATTGTGATTAATAAAGTTCACCGTCGGGAAGCCAAGTTTAAAACTCGTTTTAAAACTTGTTAATCAATAAGAATTAGGAGTATAAATGTTCTTCAATACATAAATCATTGGCCATTACCTATTCAGCTGTTAAAAATCATTTAAAAATTCCATATTTAAAGTAACAATAATTACTGAAGTAGTACAAGGACACGATTCAATTGCTTCTCTATAAAATTCCGTAAATTTTACTTGGATAATAGATAATTTGACAGGCCAAAAGACTAATGCTGCCACGAAGTCGATTTATGATAAATTTTGTTTTCGAGTACGTTTGAACACACATTCAAGAAGCACGAATTTCGTTTTAATCTCCGAGCATCGTTCAACGTTTAATTTCAAAGGACGAATAATTCTCAAGGCTATTAATAATTCTTAGTGTTTACTTAACTTTCACCGACAGTTGCAAAAGCAACGAATTAGCGTACTTCAAGCTGGCGCTCATAATATTCCAATGCAATGTAGACGTACATGAATGATAATATGTCGCCGGAGGAGCGAAAGAGTCGCGCAAGGCAATTAAACATTTCATCGATATTTCAGTCACTACATGCGTCAAATCCTGGAGGCTTTACGCTACTGCCACGAAAACGAGATAATCCATCGAGATTTAAAGCCGCAATGCGCCCTACTCGCTGGTAAGGAGAACTCCGCCCCGGTGAAGCTACGTGGATTCGGGGTGGCAGTGCAACTACCCTCGACGCAAGCCAACGGCGTCGGTACGTAAGCCACTCGACGCGTGTATTGTTCTTTATTCACTTTATGCAGTTTTTTTTTCTATCCCTATGTTATTTCGCTCCCTCTGCCCCTGAGGACGAGCGAGCGCGCGCGAGCACACACAAACCCACACCCACACGCACACACATACATCATGTCGCAAGGCATGAGGAGCGACGCGCGCTCGCACGCCCGAACACACTTCTGCCTGTTAATATGTATATATATATATATATATTGTTTTGTTTTATTGTACATATTCGTATATGCACGCGGGCACGTATTAGTGACGCGCTATACTTTTTTGGATCTCTTGAAAGCGTGATATGACGTTAGCTCGACCCCTCCTCTCTTCGCCGCTCCACACCCTCCTTTAGCGTTCTCGTACGCGCCCTCGGGCAATCATTGAGAATGCAAGGATTCTGAAGGCGACAGAGTTGCGCTGCAAGCTCCAGACTTTTCATTGGTCGCTCAAGCATCGGGTCGCAATGGCGTGTATTCTTTCGAGCTTTTCGACTGCACGAAGAAAGAACGCAATGTTACCAACCATTCGTCTCTTCTTCGTTCCGCTTTTTGTTTCTCGCGCGCTTCCGCACAAATGACAAATGATAAATAAAATTCGCACCGCAGCTACGGAAGAAAATTTGAGGCTCCGCTACGTCCCTCTATTCGTCTTTATTTTGCGCGCCTTTTAATTTCCCCAAGGCCGATTACATGAAAAAGTATTTTATACACCAGAGGTGATTATGAACTTTGAGCCCTGTATTCTGTATTTCCTAGTGAGAGCCTTAACGGATCGTCGCGAGTATATTTTACAATTTCCTTCTGACAATTCCAGCTTGACTTTTAGTTTATCAATTTTTCGCTGTAAGGTTAAGAAACATTGGGAATATACGAGTTGAAATCCCAGCAGCAGCACGGTCTCCTTTATTTATTGCACTTTTCGCACACTCTTTTACTATTTTGTAGCTTTAATTTAGTTGCGAATTATTTATTTTCAATGACTCGTGCATTTTCATAGCACATTATTATTGATAAGGGAACGACCAATAGTATTTGTCTTGTTTTAAATCTATCTACGTTACGTTTTTAATTGTTGCTACTGGTCCGTGAAATAATAAATTTCTCTCAGTCGTTGAATGAGGAAATGAATTTTCTTTTAATACAGCGCGCTCACGACTACAAGTCTTTGTTTATTTCTTAGTTCGGGCCATTGTGTTTCTTTTTAGAATATACTTGATTAAATTTGTAATACTTTTGTAACGAACGTAGCAAAAAATCTGTACGAATTTTGTTTTTTTCCAATCTTCATAACAATAGAGTGCAATAATTTCGAATTAATTGTAATTTACTTTTTACGAATAATAAAGTTGGCTGAGCAATAATAATGTACGAAAGGATTGATGTGGTGTAGTTAGAAATTTGAGACGTACGTGTGTAGTTATTGTTCGGCTAAGAACGAAGCCAACGTCGTACGGTTTTTGAGAACAAACACAAACTATATTTTGCCTCTTAATTAAATCACAGAAGCAACCGGCACACACGCGCACACACACGTTTATTGCTTGTGTCAGATTAGTATTATATATATCGGCGAAACGAGCACCACGACGAGTCAATCAGTTGCTGTCACGTCTGTATCTGCCAAACTGATGACTCGGTCACTAAATTAATTTCCAATTAGATTTTACTTTAAATTTTTAGATGCTCCCTGCACTGTTTGTATGTGCATTGTGACAAAGTTCGTCTTTGATAATTATCACTTGCTTGTCAGTCATCAGTACGATATTAAAATCAGTCGAGCACATATTTTTATTTTACTGTTGCATTTTTTGAAATTTGATGCATTACTTTGATACAATTTACATATATTATTTATATATATATAAGTTTAATATCACATGATTATGTTAAGATATAATCTGATAGTTGTTGGTGATAGTAATGAGTTGAAAAGTCTTGTAAAATGGAAAATGAAAAGGAGCCTTAAATTGATTTGCTAAGCTATGATACAACAAAGCTCCAATCCACTTTTACTTTAATAAAGAAAAATAAATAAATAAATAAAAGTATGTATTTTTCAGAATACTCAAGTATTTTTTTATATCAAACAGTATTTTTATTCGCTGTTACGTAAAAAATTCAAAATATTGCATTGTTTTATAATTATTACTTTACACAGCACATTGTTTCTTTGAATCAAACTTTACTGTGCCCACTCTTTTTTTTTTGTTTATTTTTAAATTGTATTTATCTTGAAAAGATAATACTTAAATGCTTAATTATTTACCTTCTTATTTTTCAGGTTTATAGGGTTAGAAAATTTTTTTTTTGTCAACTTAAAGTTTAATTTCCTCATTATTTTATAAATAGCTGTTCTGCATGAAAATGAAATATTAATCAAGTATTTTGGTTTAATCGATGCTTCAAAAGCAAATAATAACTTTTCGTACTTTTATTTAACTTTATCTCTATCGAGAAGTCAAAATAATTTCTTGAAAATAATTTCAAGATAAGCCACTATAATTATATAAAAATATTCGCTTTCCCATTTACTATTAAAGAACACTAGTTGTATCTATAATATTTTTATTAATAACTATCCTTTGAAGCGAAGAGATCCTTTATCTTGTAGCAAGATTGATTACAGTTTTTCTACATATATTTGGGGTATTTTTACTGGCAGTATTAATGGTTATTTTATTGATTCCTGTATTTCGAATCCATTATTAAACATAAAATTAGAAAAATAAAGATGAGATAAAATTATTTTTCAATTTTTGTATCTAACACGTGTTTCATATCTAAACATTATTTAATAATTTCTATAATTAGATTAAGGTTATAACGACATCTGATATTATGTTAGGTGGAAAATGCGTTTAATTAAAATTTTTCACTATACGAGAAATATTTATTATTAGTTTTATTTGTACTTTTAAATAAAATGCATAAAAAAAAAAAATTTATATTAAAGTAAATACATTAGCGAAATAAAAAAATTCTAAAGACACTGATATCTGAATTATAAAATAAATATATTATTCAAATAGTGTACTTGTAATTCAAGTATTTGTTTACAAAATTATGATGAGAATTTAACTAAAATCTTAAATGTTTAATTTTCATTAAAATAACTTACTTCCGTTTAACCAGATACAAGACAAATTGTTTTCTTTTATTAATATACGAACTCCTTTTGAACAAAAGTAATGTAAAAGCATACTGAAAAAAGTAATATAACTTAGTAAGTAAAACTGTTTGTATAAAAAATAAAAGAGGAAGAATGAAATAAAAAATAAATAAATAAATGAAAGTTTCAACAAACAACGAATTTTATTTATAAAGTTGTAAAGTTGGATGCTCGTTGAATAATTTAACCTTTAAAAGCTTTTGGGAGATAACAAATATTTTAATAATTCAAGTATGTAAATATCACGTGAATAATGAAATATGATCTAGCAAGGTAAAAGATGTGAAAATATTAAATTTTTTACTAGTCGTAGTTTCGATTCAAAATTGAAAAAAAAAAAAAAAAAGAAGAAGAAAAAGAAGAAAAAGAAAAAAATGAAGCAAAAATCGACAATTACGAATGAAATTTTCTAGATTACTAAATTTGTTGACCAGATAAATATTCGGCTATGAAAGAAAAACAGGCTTTGACATTTTCCAATTTCATTTCAATGAATTCAGAATGTTACACAACCGAGTATCGGCCGTATGTGAGCCCAAAGGGGCAAGACTACTTGAAGGTCGACAATGAGGGTAAGCGTCACCTAAAACCTTCGATTCATTTTTTGTTTTTGTTTTTTGCAGGATTCATATTTGTCACTGCCAACAATATATTCCTTCATGCTTATTTATGATTTGAAAAATGAACAACGTATTATTGCCGCTATGCAACATCAAGAAACTTTTCAAGATATTTCTCCACGTCATTATAACACATTAGCGCTTACATCTTGTCGCTTGTCTGCTTGCAATAATAATAAATATCCGACATAATATTTCTTCTCTACGCGATCCTTCAAAGATAACAATGACAGTGTGTTTATTGTGTGGTATATAAATTTTGACATGGATATCATACATTACATACGAATGAGAAATATAGACGTAGGTCGTTTACATTTTTACACGTCTACTGATAGACGAGAATACTTTCAGCAAATTCAAGAGTCGACGTGTCTCCATTGTTCAGTGAATTCTGTTAAAAAGTTACCATTTATCATCTCGTATTCTTAAACCATATTATCACACACTCAAACCTTAGCATAAAGTTATAGGAATAAAATAATTTCGAGATCATAATTTTTATAGGAATAACGCAATTTCGATACATTTTAATTATATCGTTTTTATCCGATCATACTTTATTTACGACTAGATGTGTTACACTGAAATCATTTGACGTTTGATACATGTAATACACGTAATGATAGTAGGCTAATAAAGCCTAAGGAAATCTATAATTATCAATAAGCAGATTCATGATAAAATGAAATTGTATAATATATATTACGAATGGCAGCTTAGACATATGCGCAACAGCGCAAAATATGTCCTTTTAATAGGATTGACAATGTCAAGCTGCAGTTTCCCTTTCGAGGACCTAACTGATGCGAAGGAATCGCTTATGAGCGAGACAGAAGACAACATCGGTACATTCACATATGCCCGCTCTATCGCTACATTGAATGAATAATACGAGACATTAGAATGTGCAAGTTTTTACAATAATGTTTTTGTCAACTTGCGCCACTTTTTCATTTTTTACTTTACTTTTGGTTCATTTATTTTGAAAAATTTTGATAAGTACGCCGTCGTAACAATTGCCTCTTGATCATAAAAATGCGGTTCGAATTTTTCCCTTCAAAATTTCCTATTTCCTATTTCGATTCATCCACTTTCACTCGAAGCTTTAAAATTCTAAAATTCTATCAAGCTTCCCGCTCAACTTTTTTCCGTGTGTTTTTTTTCTTCTCTTATTTCATTCAAGATCTTTGTAAAATAAAAACAAATTTGTATTTTCATAATATTCTACATAAAGCTTGACATATAATTTACGGCATTAAAATAGTAATTACCCTTGACTACTCTGAAACAAACACATTCTATTCTCGATAAAGGCAGCTTATGAATAAGCTTTTATTATAATTAAACGAGCTTTACAATATCATCGTGTAAAATATTATGCAATTGTAACATTAAAGACGTTTGTGATGCAGAAGCGATTACGTAATAATGTCGTTTTTAAAGCGGGAGAAAATTTCGCTGAAGATCTAAGTAACGCGTTGTTTCGCTTGTTAATCGCATTGTTCCTTAGGGAAAGTAGATAGCAGAAAGTCGTAGCGTGTCTTGAGTCTCGTTTGGCCATTTTACACGGACTGTTTGATATATTGTTGTCGTCCTCCATTACGGTGGATTGTCATTTATGTTAGTCTACATGACTGTTAGTTCTTTCACGAAAAGTGTTGCGCATTTTCTCGATTTAAAGCCACAGTACACATCGATTTTTTTATACGTATACATATGAAAATATATCATTCATCGTATTAAATTGTTACCAAGTACCAATAAAAGTACCAATAAGTACGCTTAGTCAGTATTTGTCATAGGATGTCATCTGAAAACTTGAAATATCAAACTTAAATATGTAAATATCAATTTGTTTCTTATAATGATTTTTAAGCCTACTTAACGAATGAATTTTTTTTTCGCGCAAAGTAGAATATTTATATTATATTCTTCCAAAAAAAAAAAAAAAAAAGAATCGTTATTTTTAATATTCTCTTAAAAGTTTTTTTTTCTATTCTCCAACGCGCCCATGCATGTAAGTACAATCGTAAGCATTATCGTGCTTTTATAATTGATAATGACATTTTATCAATGTTTATTATTCTCTAAGCTTAATGCAAACTCTATAAAATAAGCACGTTTGTAATATGAAATCATTTCATAATGAAATTGCTTTATTATCATTCCATAATGAATTTGTCCTTTATTTCGTGTAAATATTTGGCTCGATCTGTCTACAATTTAGTATATCCATCCCACTTTATTGTACATCTAATCGAGTTATCAATAAGTCTTGAATATTTACATAAACGAACTTCATACGGGTTGGTCAAGTAAAGAAATAGAGGACTTTTTTTTTTGTAACGCAAAGTGTCCCGACTTTTTTTTCCATTATAAACTTAATAAGATTTTAATGTCCGTCGTCACAGGTCGCATAGGATGTCCGCATTTCATGGCGCCGGAAGTTATATTACGCAGACAATATGGAAAGCCAGGAGATGTTTGGTCAGCCGGTGTACTTTTGCATGTTCTTCTTACTGGTACACTTCCTTTTGTTGGCTCGCGGGAGCGACTTCGGGAGTCCATTTGTCGAGGAAGAGTACAGGTATTTCCGGCAGTTATTCAAATTAAATACCATTTATTTGTCGCATTTCTCGCCGTTCGTAATTATTCGAGAAGCATTTATCACATTAAACTGCGCATAGAAAATTGTTTTTTCTATTTTGTTTTCCTTCAAATTATATATTTACAAAGTCGATGAGTTATTAATTGATTTGTATTCTTAAAGGATGAAATGCAATGATAAAAAGTAGTTAAAAAATTGATATGTAAATTGCTGTGCATTCCATTGTAAATACGTAATTGATAATGGAAAAAAAAAATGATCTTTGTAGATGGAAACATCATTATGGGATCCAATAAGCGAATCGGCGAAGGACCTCATTCAACGCATGTTAACCACAGATGCGAATCACAGGATTACCATTCAGGAAGTGCTGAACCACAAATGGCTTCGAGTAAGTTTTCAACAATTATTGCATTTCCTCGGAGACTCTGTATGCTTTAGCCATATGGTATATACATACATACTTATGAATATATACATATATATTTCTATATATTGAAGCGCATTCAGTTATGAGGAATGGTATGTCAGACGATACGTACTGAGAAATAAATAACAAATGGTCCGAACTTTTTCATTTCTCGTCTTGGTACATTTATTCCTGTATCATTTATTAAGTGTTTTATCACTGTAGTAGCGGCCGAGTGCCAATCTGATCGCAAGTGTATTGTTACGCGGTAAACTTAGGCGAGAAGAACTTCGTGCTCGGGACGGATATCTACGTGTTTTGAAGGACTTTGGTTCTGCAGGTACGTCGTGCTGCTACGTGGCTGAGCATTTAGCTGATAAAGTAAAGAAGGGAAGTACGAGGACCCCACGCGTATCGATGCAATGCACGTGCAAGTGGGTTATCGATCGCCCAGGGCAAAGCTCGAGCGCTTAATGGGAATAAGCTGGATATACTTCACCCCTTTCTTTTTTCTTTTTTTTTTCTTCAAATACCTATCCATTCGAGTCCCGTGTACTTAATGAATATATAACGTAAGCCGATCGCAAAGTTCTAATGTATAGAAAAACTATTGCCACATATACGTGTTGGGGAAATTATTTCTATTGAAATGCGAAACCAGGCGCTCTCGTCGTATGCTTACGATTAATGATGAGTAAATCAGTGCGAGGATCCATTGATCTAGTATATTCATGTTTAATAATTATACGAGGAGAAGTGATTTGTGATGGAATTATTTGTGTTTACAGGATCGCGATAAAGGTATTGCGCGAGTACACTTGGGCGAGACAATCGAGGAATTGAAGAAATTTAATGCCAGGCGAAAATTAAAAGCCGCCGTGAAAATGGCTGTCTCGTCGTCAAAATGGCATAATACGTATTCCGAAACAAATGGCGATAGTTATTATGAAATTGGCGATGAAGAGATAATAAGCACTGGTACATAAAATAGGTCGACTAAAATTATAGGTCATATTTAATGACTAACTCAGCTATTCAATTATTAATATTAAGTTCATGTGTCGTTTCCGCGGTTTTGTTTTTCTCTTTTATCATCGTCATCATCATCATCATCATCGTCATCATCATCGTCATCATCATCATCATCATCATCATCATCATCATCATCATCATCATCATCATCATCATTTCTTCTTCTTCTTCTTCTTCTTCTTCTTCTTCTTCTTCTTCTTCTTCTTCTTCTTCTTCTTCTTCTTCTTCTTCTTCTTCTTCTTCTTCTTCTTCTTCTTCTTCTTCTTCTTCTTCTTCTTCTTCTTCTTCTTCTTCTTCTTCTTCTTCTTCTTCTTCTTCTTCTTCTTCTTCTTCTTCTTCTTCTTCTTCTTCTTCTTCTTCTTCTTCTTCTTCTTCTTCTTCTTCTTCTTCTTCTTCTTCTTCTTCTTCTTCTTCTTCTTCTTCTTCTTCTTCTTCTTCTTCTTCTTCTTCTTCTTCTTCTTCTTCTTCTTCTTCTTCTTCTTCTTCTTCTTCTTCTTCTTCTTCTTCTTCTTCTTCTTCTTCTTCTTCTTCTTCTTCTTCTTCTTCTTCTTCTTCTTCTTCTTCTTCTTCTTCTTCTTCTTCTTCTTCTTCTTCTTCTTCTTCTTCTTCTTCTTCTTCTTCTTCTTCTTCTTCTTCTTCTTCTTCTTCTTCTTCTTCTTCTTCTTCTTCTTCTTCTTCTTCTTCTTCTTCTTCTTCTTCTTCTTCTTCTTCTTCTTCTTCTTCTTCTTCTTCTTCTTCTTCTTCTTCTTCTTCTTCTTCTTCATCTTCTTTCTTTTTTTTTCTTTTACTTTAACGATATTTCGCAATGATTTTACACTTGTAACTCTTTGTCAAAGCTTGTTTTACGAAAGAGATAATTAATAATTATGTAAAATTTGGCATTAAAATATTTTTTTTTATTTCTACAGCAGCTGTCGCCGAAATTTTAGACTCGCTAGATGATATTGAAGTTCTCCAAGAAAGTGGCAGACTGAGTAGATCAGAAATTCTTGCTGCTGTTGATGACAAACGACTTCGAACACTATTAGAAGTAAGAAACCCCTATAAATTTATATTTCATCATAAAATCTAATAACTTTCATACTTTATAAAATCATGATTGTTATTTTTTATTGGAAATAGTTCATCAAACAGTTCATTCACCATCTGCAAACAATAAAATCGTAATTGCGTAGGGAAATAGTGACAAGTGAATAGATTGCTTTTATAATTTCTTAATATCACAAACTGCCAAATTTTAATAAAACATTGCTTGCGCGATGTCGAATTTCGTTAAGGGTATAATAGATGGCCGAATAAGGCCGAAAAAGCTTTGACAGAGACTTACAATCGGTAAAGTAGGCACAATCGGAAAACTTCCCTACTATCATTGATCCGTGTAACCAGCCGATGGAGGGGTAGATTCTGCGCGCTATTATCCAACAATGGGCAAGCATTTGCTTCGGGAGCACCAACTTTGCTGATAAATTGTTTAGTAACAGTTGAAAGCGGATCGCGGCGCTGCAAGCGTTGCTCACTCGTTGAGCGATATTGAGTCGAAATCTTGGGCAGTGCCACAGCGATTTTGCATGCTCTGAAGCGAAGGGGAGCCACCGTATTGTGGCATTGAAGTGCGCTCCCTTGCGGTCGCATTGCAGTGAAAGATCGAAGCGGTGCATTCACGGTTACTTCTTGCATCAGAGCTTTTCCTGGGAATCAGGCAGCCTAAAGATGGCTGCTTCATAAAGATAAAAACAAGGAGGGGAAGCGAAAAATCAAGAGGGGCTAGGGAGGTGTGGGCAAGGAAGAAGGGCCAGAGAGAGAGAGAGAGAGAGAGAGTGCGTGTGGGTGTGTGTGACGCAGAGGGGGTGGCGAGTGATAGGGGGAACAAGAAGCCGAAACGAAATAAGAGTTGAAGCTGTATCACCAAACTCTTTAGTACTATTACACAATGACGTTAGATATTATAGAAAAGCAATCTCGTACATATGTCAGGCGTGGAGCACCCGTTATCTTATTTCTAATTGTCATATTTTTCTTCTTTTTATCATTCGCCCTGCTGATTATATTTTTTTCCACAATTCGAGGACGAATTTTACCGCCGGCACTAAATGTTGAGCCTGATTATCCAATTTAGGCTTGCTTATCACCGATTATCAATGAATAACAAAATAGATTTTTATTTGCTTATGCTTCTTTGCGAACTAAGCATATCCTGAACATTAATAGAGACATTAACGAATATGATGGTGAGTTATTCGTCGAATATCGACGAATTATTAGTCGATATTATGTGCTTTGATGTTTTTTTCTTCTCTTTATGTAATTTCTGTAACGATTAAAGAATCTAATTTTTGTAATTTCAATTATTATCGGTAAATATATGATAATATACATCAATAGAAAATATTGAAAATAAAATTTCACTTTATCGTTAAAGCTATTTTTATTTACTACGTTAATTTCTATCGTTGCAATAAGATTTGCTCGTCGCTAATCTGCGATTAATAATATTAAATACGTGAGTGCAATTTTCTTCTCTAGTCGTATTTATTTGCACTGTCATAATATAATGTAATTCGCTGCTTACAAAAATTATTTATGCTTATTGATATATTAATAATAAATAATGAAAACTAAAAGACGGTAACTTACATTTATACTTAATTTGATTATCTAAATTGTAGATTTACGATAGAATTGCGACGCGACTTCCGTCACCGTGTCGAGCACCACAAACTGATGCAGTTCAGAGAGCGCAAGAAGTCGAGGAGCTTCTTGGAGGAGCCGAGAGGTCATCTACGAGGAATATCGATCGTAACGATCTTCAAGAACTTCAAGAACTACTTGTCCTGCCTCATTTTAAGGTAAGACTTTTTTAGCTATTACGACTTTACCAAGACTTGTAATAAAATTCAAAAAGTATCTCCCTAATCTGACACATAATGTGAAGTCTGGCCTATTTAAAAAGTTTTTTTATTAATATTCTTTTGACGTGGTCTATCTAGAAAACGAGATTGACCATTAATGTGTATTATAATATTGTTAATATTGTGCACTTGTTTCAATGCTTCAGTCGTTATCGTTCATTTAAGAAATCATTTACACACGTGGCTAATAAATATTTTTCAATGGTTCGTAACGACGGCAGTATCGAGCTAAAAGTACGATTAATCGTCCGAGTATTCCTCGCACGGATTAAGATCTTGCGTCAGAAGCATCTTACAGCTTTCTTGTCGATAGTTTAATAACGAAGTCGATCATTCATCAAAGTATTCCTTATAGAGTGAACCGCCGTGTCGAAGTTCCCGAACAACGATATCATTCTTTTGTTTTGTTTGCTAACAATGAATTTGTTGCGATGTTTCACCTCGTCTGATCTATAAAATTATAACCGGGTCGCGAATATGTAGGTCAATCGTTAAAATTCTCATTAGAAAATTCCGTAGAGATAGAATGTGCATTTTGTCGTAGCGGAGAAAGACGTATAGATAGCTAAAAGTATCTCAAAAGAAAGTGGCATGGAGGAGATGAATCATTAGAGAAGAATCTCCGGCGAATGAATCCATCCATGAGCTCGCGGCTCGCTTTCTTATTATACTTTCCAACCATCAGTACGAGTAATAGATGGTCCATTGTCCACGATATCCTCTGTCTTTATCCTTTTATTTGCATTCACATGATTATCTTCTTAAACCAGTATTCGAATCCCGTACTTGCTTCATTCGACTTTACTCATTTTTCGTCTGCTTTTAACATCTCTCCCTCCTTGATGCTTCCAGCCACCACAAAGAGTCCGCCCCTGGAGGTTTAGTTAGCTAAACTTGTAGAATATTTAACGATGCAAAGTCTCTGCATTTTACTACCAGGCATTAATTTATCATGCTCTCTTCATTTCATCGCATCTCCGACGTGAAAGCTCACAATTAGCGCGAAACTTGTGAAACACACAGTTGTCATTACAATCTAAGATCTGCTTGAATATAAAAGAGTTATTATTTATCTCTCTTTCTATCAATTTCACTTGGCTTAAGAAATTTCAAATTTACGATACAATATGACAAAGTTGAAAAGCATAATCGATCATACTTTTTCGTCGGCGAACGCAACCTAGCCCCGTCATTTTTCACGGACCGAATTTTTTTTAGTAAATGATTATAAAGCGTAGCCGGATAAGCATTTGATTAATGCGTGAATTAGTGGTTTTTTACTCGAGCTGTATTATGCCACCGTACATTAATTATGTTCTTTTTTTTTTGTTTTTTTTTTGTTTTTCGTTTTAATTCAGAACGCAGTTAGTTTCTCGCGCAAATTGTCATAATTTCTTTTTACGAAACGCCAACAAACCGTTTTACTCATGCACTTGGTGCAGCTTCGTTAACGAAAGCATTAGCCATTATAATCTCGCTCATTATTTGAAATGATCGATTGATTTCATTTGAGCAAGAAGAGTCTCAAAATTGTATCTTGGAATTGTTTGCAAGCCATTATTGCAAACAGATCCCGTGGGTTTTCGTGTCCGTGTATTAATTCCACATTGTCTTCTTGTAATTTATATATTAAAATCAATAGCCAGTGGTGGCCCCTCGAAACGACAAAGTACGAGTCCGTTTGTAAGTGTAAATACCTTCTATCGTTCTCGCCTCCCCCCTCTCTCTCTCTCTCTCTCTCTGTCCCCCTTATATCCCCCCTAAACGCCAAACCCCTTATTATCGCTAATTTTCCCTGATTAAAATGGCTGCAGAGCGAATGTCTGTCGTTTCAAAAGCAAGTATCACGCATCTTTGTACGCATTCATGTCCGTCCGTCGTCGTCTCATCCGACAATTCCACTTTAATGGAATTTCTCTTGACTTGAAAACTTCATTTCCTTGAGTTAGCAGTATTTTCGCGGCGCGCTTTTTTCGTGAATCCGCTTCCGCAGCGATTCATTTCCTGACTGTAAGGGGCACTTGCTATGCCACCGTGAAAACAACACTGATATCGAGCATGCCGATGTTGTTGGTGATGTTGTTGGTGCTGCCATCGGAACGCGAATTCGAAGGTAGCGACAGTTGCGGAATAGCAGAGTGATGACGATTGGTGCGAGTGGGAGCTTTAGCGGTGGTGGTGACAGGATGGCGGTGGCGGTGGCGGTGGCCGTGGCGGTGGTGGTGGCGGCAGCAGCGGCGGCGGCAGTGGCGGCGGCGATAGCGGAGGCGGAAACACTGACACGCTGCTATGCAGACCTCTCAACCTCTGCCCCTCTTTTGAACACAGCGGGCGTCTCGCTCGCACTCTTTGGCCAGGGCCGTGGAAGCGGAGAAGGGTCGAGTCAGAGCTGCCGCCGCATCGTCCGACGGCCAGGGCGCCCTCATGTTAGTACGCCGTTGAACGTACATCGTATACGACGTCTTCGACGTGGCCGGGCCGCGGTTAATCCCATATTCCATAAACGGTACACGTGATCTCGCGCCCTCTTCGCATGCGTACGGCTAAACCATTTTGCTTTAGTTATGTGATCGCCGTTTTATCATGTACACGCGCGCCCACCCCCGTTACATCACGCATACCAGGCACACCAGTTCACACCAGTTCACACCAGTTCACACCAGTTCACACCAGGCACACCAGGCACACCAGGCACACTTGACGTCCGGTATCGAGTGCGATAGCGTTCGATAATTCTAGCGGCATTAGAAGCTGCCGATCGACGAGCTTAGCTGCCTCGAGGGCGTTATGAAGCGCACCTTCTCGATAAGCTTTAAAGGTTGAGTAGGACCGTCCCCGTCTTTTGTATGTAAACACGGTAGAGAGGTGGCGATGGATGGCTGAGTCGAGTGCGCAAACTCGCGAACACTCGCGCTTTGACATTTTGTTGCGAGCGTTTGTTCTAGTGTTGCATTATCACGAACGGCGTTGCAGGAATTTTCGATTTAGAATGTCGGGAACTTGAAATGTAGGGAGCCGAAGAAGCTGCGAGTAGTAAATTAATTCCTACTTCCAATCATCGGCTTGTTAATTAACCTTAATTGAAAATGTTCGAAACACTCGGCTGCCTTTTTACGATTGATTTCCCTCGCTAATAGATTTGCTTCAGGCTTTACCGATGCCTTGTGACGGGCACTGTAACAGCATAATATGGCCCGTCCATTTTGTCGCGTAAGCCACCTAATGTTCCGTAGATAACTTTCTATTTAATGAGAACTACCGTTGTTTTCTTTCAATGAATCGAAGCGTATGGAATTTGTCGTAGTGTAGGTGGTGGGCTCCTTAGTTTTAGCGGCCAGAGCAAGTGATAAAATTCAAGAGAGGTAAAGCGATATAATGGGTAAATCGCAAATATAGATAAATAAACCGGGGGAGAGTGGAGGGGTTTGAGAACAATTTACGCGAATGTTATTTTAAGCCCGTCCTCGGATATTTAATTAGTTGTATGATATCGAATAAGCTTTAAAGCTTAAGTATGTGAAGCAAACTCGCGCTTCCTCCGACATATAAATCATATTTGGAAACACGTGCACCTATATGTATGCATAATCACGTGCACCGTTCTACTGTGTATACAGATTTAGAAATGGAATTTCATAGCGTGCAAGGGGTACTGGTAAATAAGAGATAAAATGTAGATAAAAGAATGGGAAATAAATAATTTTCAATCGATAAATTTGGCATTTCTTCAGCTTCTTCACTTTATGGTATTGTGTATTTGAGTGGATAAGCTTGACTTGTCTATTAAGAAAATCATATTATTTACGTACTTTTCGTCTCAATTTTCTCTATTCATGTCATAGCTCTAGTTTTATTTAATCCTAATATTTATTTATTCAATATATAACAGTTTTTCTATAGGATTTCGTTATTGTATTTCCAAATTCTGTAATTATTTATGATCGTGTCTTTTTTTTTCCTTTTTTTCTTTTTTTTGTCCAAATCGTATATTTATCATGAAGTAGCAAGGTTTTATTAATGCAAATTATTATTTATTCTACCTAATAGAATCTTATATTGCTTTATGTTGAGTGAATTATGCGTTTATTATACCAGACTCTGAAGAATTTGATATAATAATTTGTACATTATAGAGCTCAAGTATTATGATATATTATTATGATTCTACAACAATGCAATCAAATATGTTAAATGTATATAGACATTATTATCATTTTTCTTGAAAAATTAACAATTAAAAATAAGGAAAAATGTTAAGTAATTATTTAACTGTAATTTTATAGGTAGACTAGAGCTGTATGTTTTTATATTATGAATAGAAAGAAAAATATATATTAAATCGATTAGACTGTATATTATATTAATTTTAATATTTACATTTCTGTTCTAATGAAGCGCTTAAATTTTTATTTTTGTTTTATTTGTTGTTGTTGTTTTTTGCTTAATCTAATAAGATCATTGATTACTTAATAAAACTTTTAGTATAATTAAGTATAGACATATACATATATCATTAGAATCAAACAGTTTGTTCTTAAATTTTAGTTTATTCTACACATTTCATATAATAAATAACATCGTTTCTCCATCTTTTCCTTACATTGTCAATTTGAAAATATAACCTGAAATGACATATTCAACGAAATTCGTAGTAGATTTAATCGAGATTTATTGTTATATATAATTTACGAAGATTTATTTCAACTCGATTATGTTCCGTAAAAAAAAAAAAAAAAAAAAAAAAAAAAAAAAAAAATTATAATTAATAGTCGTTGATAATTTTAGTTAAGTAGATAATTTTCAAATAATTAATTAACCGAATGATTGTAAATCTATCGTATATATTTGACATGATTTATCTTGTTAAACGTGATGATTATAAATCGTGGGCATTGTGATTGCCAGACACGATTTATCCAAAACATACCTGAGATTTC